GCTTCCTGCAGGGAGGTGGCATTGCGGGGACAGAGTCACACAGCGGGGCTCGGGTGTGTCCCGGGGCTCTGGAGAGCTTTCGTGAATCCTGCTGGCACCATCACTGCAGCTCCCAGTACCAGGAGAGGGAATTCCTGGGATAAGAGCCACTGGAGCAGCTCTTTCCCAGGGATTCAGCAGTGTCATCCCTGGGAATTCTGCATCTATTATCCCATGAATTCAGCAGTGTTATCCCAGGGAATTCAGCAGTGTTATCCCAGGGAATTCAGCAGTGTCATCCCAGGAATTCAGCAGTGTTATCCCAAGGAATTCAGCAGCCCATATCCCAGGGGATTCTGCAGTGTTATCCCAGGGAATTCAGCATTTGTTATCCCAAGGAATTCAGCAGTGTCATCCCAGGGAATTCAGCATTTGTTATCTCAAGGAATTCAGCATCTATTATCCCATGAATTCAGCAGTGTCATCCCAGGGAATTCAGCAGTGTCATCCCAGGGAATTCAGCATTTGTTATCCCAGGGAATTCAGCAGTGTTATCCCAGGGAATTCTGCAGCTGTTATCCCAGGAATTCATCACCTATTATCCCATGAGTTCAGCAGTGTCATCCCAGGGAATTCAGCAGTGTCATCCCAGGGAATTCTGCATCTATTATCCCATGAATTCAGCAGTGTTATCTCAGGGAATTCAGCAGTGTTATCCCAGGGAATTCTGCAGTAGTTATCCCAGGGAATTCTGCAGTGTTATCCCAAGGAATTCAACAGTGTTATCCCAGGGAATTCAGCAATGTCATCCCAGGGAATTCAGCATTTGTTATCCCAAGGAATTCAGCAGTGTCATCCCAGGGAATTCTGCAGCTGTTATCCCAGGGAATTCTGCAGCTGTTATCCCAGGAATTCAGCAGTGTCATCCCAGGGAATTCAGCAGTGTTATCCCAGGGGATTCTGCAGTGTTATCCCAGGGAATTCAGCAGTTGTTATCCCAGGGAATTCAGCATTTGTTATCCCAAGGAATTCAGCACCTATTATCCCATGAATTCAGCAGTGTCATCCCAGGGAATTCAGCAGTGTTATCCCAGGGAATTCAGCATCTATTATCCCAGGGAATTCAGCAGTGTCATCCCAGGGAATCAGTAGCCCTTATCCCAGGGAATTCTGCCTTACCAGGTCCCCGACGGTCTCACGCAGCTCCCGGACCTTCTCCTCCAGATCCAGGTTTCTCTCTGTCAGAGTCT